CAGAATACTGCCAGCTGAATCAAACACCGCCCTCAACGGTTCCTAACCACTTAATTGGGATGTGAGATGTCCTTGCTTCTAATGTCCAGTTGCTGGTCAGGCTTTCCAGAGGTCTGCTCTGATGACATTCACTGACTGCTACCTCTGTCTTTAAGAGACTTGTTGCCTCTCCAAGCACTTGTGCCCAAATTTGATTAACCACAGAAAAAAAGTGCAGTCAACTTTTGATCCTGGATATCCTCAGACAATAATGGGAAGTCTCTCGTTATATGGAAGCCTTAAGTAATGCTAAAAGAACTTCTGATTCTTTTTAATTCTCTTCCATTCGGATTCATTTTACCTTCTCTTTGCATCTCCTTTTGCAAGCCCTGTAGTAGAAAGATAGTCCAATGTCGTACACATGGTGTTAGTTTATGGTCAGGAAACAACCCTTTTCCTGGCTCTGCCACTCATTCTCAGGCTTTAGACACTTCCCAGCCCCTCTCTTTCTTCTATAATAATTCTTGCTCTGCTAATTTCAGAATTTATTGTACAGAAACATGGAAATAAATTTAAAAATATCTGTAAGCCCTTTGCAAATGTACCACATAGACATTTCCTGAACTTACCTTCCATTTGCACTGACTCTATGAGAATGCTGAGATCTGGTAAGTGAAGCCTCATACAATGATATATTACAAAATACAACTATAGATATAATGGCTTAAATCATTATTTTTTGGTGATTGAGTCATTGGCCATTTACAGCAACTATATTGTAATTATAGAGTGACTTTATGAGTACCAAAGTACCCATTCTATTTGTTTTGTCACATCAGTTTATTTCCCTCCCTCAGCTCTTGTCTCATTGTAACAAAGATTTGGAATGACAGACTACAACTCAAGCAGGCAGGATTTCTTAGCTCCTGTCTCATTGAAGCAGGGATTCAAAACAACAGTGGTTACAGCTCAAGCAGACAGATATTTTATTAAATAGATAGCGGATAGTACACTCCCAAGACACGAGAGTGGGTAGACCCCGAAGGAGTGGCCATGATCCCACTTGGCTTCCCTTTTTTACTGCATCTTCTCTTGGTTCTGCAAATGGGCATACACTTAAGGCAAAATGCAAATGGGCATACACGTAAGGCAAAATGCAAATGGGCATACACTTAAGGCCAATCAGGGAAGGGGGCATGTCTGGGCACATGCAAAATGGGACTGACACATATTCATCTACATGAGAGTTTTGATTGGCAGTTGCAAGTTACATAACAACAGGCTCTATTGCTCATGTCTTTCCCATAATTCAGTCTGTTATCATCAGATGTCTGTATGTATAGAACATTTATGAACCCTTAATGGGCTCCTGGCTGCCTAAGGTTACTTCAGGACACAGCGGTGCATCAAGGGGGCATGTGCCAGAGGTGGAGAAGCCCCTGAGGTTAATTTGTATCCACTGTGCCTAGGGTCGGAGATGGCCATGGCACCCCACTCCAGTCCTCTTGCCTGGAAACGCCCATGGACGGAGGCGCCTGGTGGGCTGCAGTCCATGGGGTCGCTAAGAGTCGGACACGACTGAGCGACTTCACTTTCACTTTTCACTTTCATGCACTGGAGAAGGAAATGGCACTCCAGTGTTCTTGCCTGGAGAATCCCAGGGACGGGGGAGCCTGGTGGGCTGCCGTCTGTGGGCCCACACAGAGTCAAGGACACGACTGACGCGACTTAGCAGCAGCAGCAGCGCCTAGGGTGCATCTGCAGGAGTTGGAAAAGTCTCTGTGGTGATTTTTGTAGCATATCTCAGCTCCCCTGGGTGTGTCTGGGGTGGGGTTTAGGGATCAGCTTGCATCCTTTTCTGCCAAGCCACCGCTCTTTGCTCATGCCTAACTTCCGGCTTCACAGTTCCGTAACATATACGGAGTACCTACTCTGTGCTAGGTTGTGCAGTATTTTTATCATAAGGCCTATATTTTGGTTTAAAATCAAGAAAATATGCTTCACCACTTTATGGCTAAGTAGCCTTGTTTATGATCTTTTAAAATGTAGAACTTGCCTATATTATACAATTATCAATTAAGCCAGTATTGATGAGGGAACCTAAATGAAGCCAAGAAGGCCTAGCTGCCTGCCCTTTTCTTTTTTCTACCAAACTTGGTACAAGAGAGGTTATTTAGAATGCTTTGTGATCAAAATAGAAAAAAATGTACAGGCTAGTTTTTTTTTTTTTTTTTTAACATAGTCTTAGAATATTTCTACCTGGTTTTATTCCTAGAGGATATAAAATCAAATTTACTGGGAACCCTGGAATCCCCAGATTATCTTTGGTAATTCTGTAAGCATTGCCCTCCGCCTTCACCAGATCATGCAAGCAGCTGAGAAATGTATCCAAACTCAAGATGCAGAGCTGTGGAGGCCCATCTGCTCTAATTTTAGTTTTCTCTGCACTCCTCCAAAGTCTTGTAATAGCCAAGGCTGGGGGGCGGGGCGGGGGGGGGGGGCGGCGGAAAGCAACAGAAATTCCATATGACATACTTGTCTACAAATATGTTTCATAAATTGCTGTTGATGGTTCAACTCACAGGACACAGAGGACTAGTATGCTATAACGTTTGTTCCCAGTAGCAGTTAGCATTTTGGCTGGAACTGCCTCTCCACTTGTTTTGTCTTCTTGACTTTGGAATGGGGTATGGAGTCCAGAGAGCTGCTTTTACTAGGGAGAAGCAAGCTAGTGAATGATTCCAAGCATTTCAGTAATGTGTAACTAGTAAGAAAGCAAACTGGATGTATAGATACACCCCTCTGTGTACTTAGAAAACTATAACCCCCTTGCTGACATCATGGGTGTGCAACCCACGCAGTTACACAGGCTCTCCACTTAGAAGGACCATCCTTGGTTTAATGCTCTCCTGTCACTGTCTTAAAACTTAATAATTCTTGAATAAGGGGCCCCATGTTTTCATTTTGCAACGAGCTCCACTATGTATGTAGACAGTCCTGGCCCTTATTTCTAGAGATTCTGTGTGATTTTTTTTTTTCTTCATATTAAGAACTTGTGTCTGGCACTTAGAGGGGATACAATAAACAATTTCAGCCTGGGTAAATAAGGGACTTTAGGGCTTTAAATAAAACAATTGACGTAAATGTTAGTCCATTTAATTTTGTGGTACGAGGAGTGGGGGAAAGATACTAAATTTTGGGGAGAAAATTGACAACATGCATCATTTTGTAATTTTCTTTTTCGTAATCTGCTTATAAAACCTATTGGTACTGATACATGTAGCTCTTCTCATTACTGTGTCTAAGAGCAATATACTCCCTGTCCTGATCTGTCCAGGCTGCCCACTTAGGGAGACTGTTCACATCAGAGCCAGAGGAGCCTTTCCTTCTTTTCTGTTTCTGCCACTGTTGCTGGTAAACATCACTGGCTAGATGACACTGGGCTGGCAAATAGATGGGGAAACAGTGGCTGACTTTATTTTGGGGGGCTCCAAAATCACTGCAGATGGTGATTGCAGCCATGAAATTAAAAAATGCTTACTCCTTGGAAGGAAAGTTATGACCAATCTAGACAGCACATTAAAAAGCAGAGACATTACTTTGCCAACAATGGTCCATCTAGTCAAGGCTATGGTTTTTCCAGTGGTCATGTATGGATTTGAGAGTTGGACTATAAAGAAAGCTGAGTGCAGAAGAACTGATGCTTTTGAACTGTGGTGTTGAAGAAGATGCTTGAGAGTCCCGTGGACTGCAAGGAGATCCAACCAGTCCATCCTAAGGGAAATCAGTCCTGGGTATTCATTGGAAGGACCAATGTTGAAGCTGAAACTCCAATACTTTGGCCACCTGATGTGAAGAGCTGACTCATTTGAAAAGACCCTGATGTTGGGAAAGATAGAGGGCAGGAGGAGAAGGGGACGACAGAGGATGAGATACTTGGATGGCATCACCGACTCGATGAACATGGGTTTGGGTGGACTCTAGGAGTTGGTGATGGACAGGGAGGCCTGGTGTGCTGCAGTTCATGCAGTCGCAAAGAGTCAGACACGACCGAGCAACTGAACTGAACTGAAATGAAATTAAGTGATCTTTCTGAAACATCGTTTTCACATAGGATTAATGATTCCTACCACTTAAGATGTTTTTGTGACAATTAAATGTATTGCCTAGTGAGTCGTTAAATGAGATAATATAGGTAAAGCCTACTATATGATAAAGATGCAAAAACAAAAAAACAGTAGTGAGGATTATTATCATTTTGCCATACATGTTTCTGAATATTATGAAGCCCAACGCAAATATGTAACAGTGATCTTGAATTTGCATTGTTTGGTCTCTCTCACTGTGTTCTTCGCTTGACTATTGGCGTTGTTTTTTTTTTTTTAAATAATGAGAAAATTGTCCCCCTGAAATGCAGTCCTGGATGCATTAGAGTATGAGGTTCCTCTTTTACAAAATTGAACAATATTACCTTTAACAAAACTTCATGGAATTAAAAGGTTTAACCCATACAGTTATAAACCTATAATATTAAATATTTATAAAAATATGTCTGTATTCTTTTCTATTCATTTTGAAACAGATGAATGTTTAGTGTTCTCAGACTTCCACTTTGCAAAGTAACAAATAATAGGACTGTGTGTGCAATGTGCTAAGTTGCTTCAGCCTTGTCTGACTCTGTGACCCCATGGACTGTAGCCTGTCAGGCTCCTCTGTCCATTTGATTCTTCAGGCAAGAATACTGGAGTGGGTTGCCATTTCCTTCTCCAAGCAGAAATGAGAGAGCTGGAATTCTGTCAGACCATGATTGTGCTCTTTCCTGGTCCCTGAACTCACTATTAGAAACTAAAAGCTCAAGCATACATTGAGCAATTTTTTTTCATGTTCTTTGCAAATTAAAAATCTTAACCGAAGCCGATATTAAGTCTTAAGAGTAGATGGGGGTGTGTGATATATTAAGAAACTTGAAATATATTCTGAGTTTCCCTGTGGTTTTACAGCATATTTTGGTTATTTGACAGATACTACACAATTCGCTATAGAGAAAAGGATAAGGAAAAGAAATGGATTTTTCAACTCTGTCCAGCCACTGAAACAATCGTGGAAAATCTAAAGCCTGACACAGTTTATGAATTCGGAGTGAAAGACAATGTAGAAGGTGGAATTTGGAGTAAGATTTTTAATCACAAGACTATTGTCGGAAGTAAGTACTAGAAGTTTTGAGCGAGTTTTCTGTACTATTTTTTTCCAATTATAAATTTTTATTTTATTAGTTGTATAATATGAGCTAATTCTCACTTTCTGTATTTATGAAAACATAAAAGTAAACAATTTGAGCATTAATGATTCAGTATCTTCTATAGTGAGTGTTCCTTTGAAAAATGACTAACACTTGACAGTAACAAACCATTCAAAATTTATTTGGCCATTGGTTTGTTTTAAATCAATCTCTGAGCACAAACTGAGCCAAAAAACAATACTGTGTGTGAATATTCAGTGAAACAGCTGGGCCAGTGGAAATGAACATGCAAAGACTTTATGGGGCCTGAGGCTTATTTCCTATCATCCTTTGTTTCAAACATCATTAGGGTCAGAGTTGAAATGATAGCAAATAAAATAATATGCCCAAGTTACAGCAGTAGTTGTAGTTGTCTTCATAATGACTAGTAAGAATTGATTTAGGATAAAAAAGAATGAAATGAATGTCATTTTCTTTTTGTTTTCGTCAGGTAAAAACAAAGTAAATGGGAAAATCCAAAGTACCTATGACCAACTCCACTCTGTGGTATGTACCACGTTATTTTCAAGAACGGTCTTTAAAAAATGTCTGTATTACACTTTTATTTAAGTAGGGAAGTTGTCCTTTTATGAGGTACTGAAACTTGATTACCTGCCTAGCTATTGAGTATTGGTATGTGACATTTTAGGAATTAGTTTCTCAGAAAATGGAGGTAGAAGCGTGAGACCAAATTATCTCTAATTTTTTTAAAGCTCTAAAATTCTGATATTCAACATAGTTAACCTAGTATTTCAGTATTCCATTTATTTTGAGATTATTCTTATTATCTTCTGTCTGTGGGTTGTTTTCCACCATAAGATGTTTCAAGAGTGAATTAGTAGATGCTCTCCTTACCCTGCCATTGTTCAAATCTTTCCTCTATTTTCTAACATTTCCTACTTAAAAGTTCAGTTCAGTTCAGTCACTCAGTCGTGTCCTACTCCTTGTTACCCCATGAACCGAAGCACGCCAGGCCTCCCTGTCCATCACCAACTCCCAGAGTCCACCCAAACCCATGTCCATCAAGTCGGTGATGCCATCCAACCGTCTAATCCTCTGTCGTCCCCTTCTCCTCCTGCCTTCAATCTTTCCCAGCATCAGGGTATTTTCAAATGAGTCAGCTCTTCGCATCAGGTGGCCAAAGTATTGGAGTTTCAGCTTCAACATCGGTCCTTCCAATGAACACCCAGGACTGATCTCTTTTAGGAAGGACTGGTTGGATCTCGTTGCAGTCCAAGGGACTCTCAAGTGTCTTCTTCAACACCACAGTTCAAAAGCATCAGTTCTTCTGCACTCAGCTTTCTTTATAGTCCAACTCTCAAATCCATACATGACCACTGGAAAAACCATAGCCTTTACTAGATGAGTTTCGTTGGCAAAGTAATGTCTCTGCTTTTTAATATGCTGTCGAGGTTGGTCATAACTTTCCTTCCAAGGAGTAAGCGTCTTTTAATTTCATGGCTGCAATCACCATCTGCAGTGATTTTGGAGCCCAGAAAAATAAAGTCAGCCACTGTTTCCACTGTTGCCCCATCTATTTGCCATGAAGTGATGGGACCAGATGCCATGGTCTTAGTTTTCTGAATGTTGAGCTTTAAGCCAACTCTTTCACTCTCCTTTTTCACTTTCGTCAAGAGGCTCTTTAGTTCTTCTTCACTTTCTGCCATAAGGGTGGTGTCATCTGCATATCCAAGGTTATTGATATTTCTCCCGGCAATCTTGATTCCAGCTTGTGGTTCCTCCAGCCCAGCATTTCTCATGATGTACTCTGCATATAAGTTAAATAAGCAGGGTGACAATATACAGCCTTGACATACTCCTTTTCCTATTTGGAACCAGTCTGTTGTTCCATGTCCAGTTCTAAGTGTTGCTTCCTGACCTGCGCACAGGTTTCTCAAGAGGCAGGTCAGGTCAATCCTTTTCAAAATGAAGAAGCAGCTGGTTTGGTTTGTAACATGCCCAGCCTCTGTTCAGTGCAGTTGGTGTGTGTCTATTTCATGTGCCTGCCATTTTCTCATCTAGAATCCTGTTCACATTTCTGATTTCTTCCTTAAAGTAGATCTGTAGATACTTAGACCAGGAATTAGTTGTTTAGATTTTTAACAGTTTTTAAACTTTCTAATATGTCTGGTCAACTTTTTTTTTTTTTTTTTACCAATTTTCAATCTTGCTGGCAATGGATCAGAGTTATCTTGATATAGTACCCTGATTCTCAACATTATGTATCTCCATCACTAAATTTTTGGCTAGTGTAATAATGTAAAATGGTTTGTAAACTTCTATTTCTGATAGCTGATGAAGCAGCACTTAATTCACTCATTTATTAGTCATTTGTATTTTCCATTTAATGACCTTTAGTTTCAGTTCCTTGTTTATTGGGCATCTTGTGGGTTTTTTATTGAATTGTTTAAAGACACTAAAGAACAAAGATTCTTTGTGATATCATCTAGAAACATTATTGTCACATTTGTTATCAATTTTGTTTATGGGAATTTGTGAAATAGGCAAGTCTTAATTTGCTTAATGAAGTTATTTTTCTTTCCATTGTCATATCTTCAATTGCCTGATATTTTAGTAGGCTCTTCCTTATCCAGAGATGAGATAAATAATTCTCTCTCTCTTTTTTTTTTTAGTTTTAGTGGTTTGATTTTGTAATAATTTAAACTATGTGGCTTTTATCTTGCTATCTTATATGCAGTAAGGTCCTGCATATTTGAGGGTATGTACTTTTCCCAAATACTTAACTAATCAGCTTAGTACCAAGTATTGAATTCTGCCATTCAAGGGACCATTGTTAATGTTCCTTCCCTGGTGGCTCAGTGGTAAAAAAAATCCACCTGCAGTGCAGAAGGCCTGGGTTCAATCCCTGGCTTGGGAAGATCCCCTGGAGAAGGGAATGGCAACCCACTCCAGTATTCTTGCCTGGGAAATCCCATGGACAGAGGAGCCTGGTGGGCTACAGTCCATGGGGTCACAAAGAGTTGGATAAGACTGAGCGACGTACTCTTTCACTTCACTCCAAGGTCCCTTTGGCTTTGGCTTTCAAATCCAGTCACAAGGAATAGAGCTGCTCTTCCATTCCCTTCTAGAACAATCCTCACTGTTGTGAATGGTTTCCTAGGAAGCACATCTTATCTCCCACCCTCTTGGATGTCATACTTTAGCTTACATGTGACTCAGTGTTGTTTCTTTCATTCCTTCTTCACAGCAATCATATCCCAATAATTTATGTTTCTTTTGGCAGAATATTTCATTTAGGGTTAGTTACTCAGCAAGATTGGGAAAGATGATTGACATTTTATTCCCAAGAAATTTTATATCTTTTCCACATCATAAATAGCCATGACAAGAAAGTCCAGGAAGAAATTTCCTGCATCTATGACACAGAGCCAGATATTTGATCAATTCAAGCTGTGAGGTGGAGTACCCCCAACTCTAGCCAGCTTTAATGAGCTGTGGTTTGAAACTCTTGGGTATTTCCAAAGGAAAACCCAAACTAATTAAAAAGATATTTTGAGGATTCTCTGTGAGGCTTTCTTCATTGTTACAGTCTGGATAGTAGAAAAAATGTTTCACAAACTTCCCTCTGTGCCTTTGGGTAGCTCCGGAACATGGGAAAGTTGTAAAAGAACCACTTGGGGTAGCCTTTGACCATCTCACATGACCACTTAGAACTGATTCTGAAAGTTGATTTGATACTTTATAGAGGTATATATTTTGGGGCTTCCCAGGTGGCGCTGGTGGTGAAGAACCCGCCTGCCAGTGCAGAAGACGTAAGAGAGGAGGGTTCAGTCCCCGGGTCGGGAAGATCCCCTGCAGGAGGGCATGGCAAACCACTCCATATTCTTGCCTAGAGAATCCCATGGACAGAGCAGCCTGGAGGGCTTCAGTCCATAGGGTTGCAGAAAGAAGGCAGTATGTCAAGAGATACGAAATTAATTCCAGAGTTTTAAGACATGTTGAAAAATGTTTTTATTCATATATGCATGCTTACACCTAAAACTTAAGCACAGCAGAAACTTCTTCACACCTTCTGGAAAGAGATTGGTAATGGAAAAGACAGTTTGAACTTGAGGCTATCCATTTTAACAGATAAATAATATGCAGATTAAAATTTGAATAGCAAAGCAGCCCCATCTTAACTTCTGCCCTCCCAACTGTGCCATGTGACTTGTAGGCTCTCAGTTCTCCAACCAGAGATGGAACCTGGGGCCACGCAGTGAAAGCTCCATGCCCTAACTTCTGTACCACCAGGGAACTCCCAAATACAGCCCCGCCTTAAACATCTTGTTGCATTATATACTGTAACTCCTGTATCTCAGCCTGTGTTCTGCAGGCAACTCTCAGGACATTTGTGTCAGAGGACACTTAGCAGGGGTCTCTTCTAATTGGTTGTGCTTTTGTTATACTGCTTGTTAATTACTTTCAATATCACCCCTGCCTCCATCTCTAGAAAAATGAGAGAAAAGATGTATGCATAAACAAAGCCCTGATTCTTCCTATGTAAGTTGCATCACTTGAGATCCATGTACAAAAACCAAATGATAATTGGGCTATTTTCTTCATATTGGGAAGCCAGAACCCTGTTTTTATCAAGGTTAAATCTAATGTCTACTATCTGTCCTTTTTTTAAAGTTTTATTGGATTATTGTTAATTTACAATGCTGTGCTGTTAATAGTTTCAGGTGTACTGCAAAGTGATTCAATTATACATATACACTCATTCATTCTTTTTCACATTCTTTTCTCGTGGAAGTTATTACGAAATATTGAATAGAGTTCCCCATGCTATACAGTAGGACCTTGATTATCTAGATTATATACAATAGTGTGTGTGTAATAATCCCAAGCTCCTGATTTATCTCTCCTCCTTGTGTTTTCTCTTTGGTAACCATAAGGTTTCTTTTTCTGTATCTGTAAGACTGTATTGTAAATAAGTTCATTAAGCTTTATTATATAAAAACTATAAAGGAATGATGGCTAACTTTAATATATTATTAAATAAGTTTTTAAAAACTTAGTCATCTGACTAGTTCACTAACCAAACAATGAATTTCTGAAGTATGTAGTATTTATTAACAGGTGTTTTAAAATTTAAGTTTAATTACTGAATTAATCCAAATCTCCTGAGAATCAAAATTCCCCTGAAATAGACATCTATTTTCACCCTTCCATTTTTTTCCATCAGAGGTCCACCTGTCTTTTAAAATGGCCATGTCTATCATTGACAAAAAGAGAAGCAGCATCAGTTCTTAAAGTGTAAGTTAGCAGATGAGTAAATAAGGAGAAAGACAGTCTGGTCTCTCCCCCAAACACCCGAAGACTGTGTGCAGTGAATACATAGATGTCCTTTCATTCTTAGCAATCATTGAGCTAAGCAGAAACTTAAAAACTTTATATCTACACCACCAATATCATCAAAGGTGGATATCTGATTCCTCCCTAGCTGACCAGAAATACAGCAATTATCACAAGAAGGATGTTAGATTCACCTTTAGTCAGCTGTTAGATTGAATAAGTATCTTTCGTAACTTTCATCAGGACATCCTAAAAATGAATTAAAACCAGGATATAACAGGCCCAAATTCTTCTCATGCGGTTTAGATCTTGAGTCATTGAAATTTGATTTTGAGCAACCCTTAGCCACTCCCCGGGGCCTAATGAAAAAGTTAAATCAACAGTGGATGTGCTGATGTCACAAAAATACCAAATGGACAAACCTGTAAAGCATAACTTACAAAGAATAACATCCTTGTGTTATCATTGCTTTTCTTAAGGTTAATTTTTTAAAAACAGTATCAGGGGAAAGGCAGTGCAATGCAGAGTGACTCTAAAGTGTTTGGTTACTGCTGCTGTGGTCACTGCTAGATTTGAGTGGGTTTTGCCTAACCAGGACTGAAAAGGAAGCTGGGTGCGCCATCAGGGACACTGCCTTTTACCACTTCAGCATCCTCTTCCCACTGAGTCTCACCAACTGGATACTCAGCTACAATGTCCCCTGAAAAGTGGTAAAAGTGAATTTCCTTAGGGCTTTCCTGGTGTCTCAGATGGTAAAGAATCGGCCTGCAGTGCAAGAGATCCAGGTTCATTCCTGGGTTGGGAAAAGCCCCTGGGGAAGGGAATGGCAAGCCACTCCAGTATTCTTGCCAGGAAAATTCAAGGAGCCTGGCAGGCCGCAGTCCATAGGGTTGCAAAGAGTTAGACATGACTTGCGCACACACATGTGAAGTGCAGTAAGCCAGACAAATATCATCTGATATCACTTATATGTGAAATCTAAAAAAAATGATACAAATGAAATGATACACGAAACAGAGAGAGACCTACAGACATAGAACACAAATTTATGGTTACCAAAGGGGAGAAGGAGAGGGGAGAGGTAAATGAGAGTTTGCCATTAACATATATGTGCCACTATATAAAACAGAAAACCAACAAGAACCTGTCTAGCACAGGGAAATATATTAATAATTCCTATTCCTCTAGCACAGGAAATGTAATATATTATATATATAGTAATATATAATAATCTATAAAGGAAAAGAACCTGAAAAAGAATATATATATATATATATGTGTGTGTTTATATATATATTCTTATAATGGAAATCACTTTCCTGTACACTTGAAACTAATGCAACAACATTGTAAAATTAACTATATTTCAACTAAAAAAAACCATCTTACAGAGAGGGAGTTACTACTTGCTCATTAGTCTTGGTGCATCTTTGGATTGCTAATTAGACAAGAGAATAATTATAAGGTCTAAAAAGAATTGGATTCTGCAACCAAATGATTTCCTTATTCTCTGGCAGCACAGATATAGTCTTGTCATCATCTTAATAGAAGACTAGTCTGTACTCAGATAAGAACCCGAACAGAAACTGTGTTCCATTATGTCAAGAATGAAATATTTTCTATCTCTTTTTGTCAAAAACTTCCTTGAAATAAACCATCCACAGCAGAGGAAATACAAATTGGGATAATGCCATAGACACAGCAACAAATAGGTGTTTCTGCTGTAATGTGATGTGTCTCTGGACACTTCACACTCTGCAAAACATACACTAAAGGGCAAGACGCATGGGGCAAAAAGAGGACCAGCCATTCAAAAATCTTTGGAACTATAGGCACAACTCTGTCAAAAGAAATTAGTAGCACCTAGAATGATACTGTGGTTCCCCTGGCAAACCTTTCCCATGGAACTACAGTTTGCCACAGCAAGGATTTAAATGCTCAGGAATGATAGAGACTATGGATAGCAACCCTTTCACTGAAGCAGGACAGGTGGAGGTAAGGTGGGCACACCAAGACAGGGTCATGGGCCTGGGAAGAAGGATCCTGTGGGCAAGTGCACTTATTTAGTTTTCTTATGAGAAAGCCAAGAGTTCTCTGCCAGTATGACATCAGAGTTGAACTATTTTTTTTTTCTTTCCTACTGATGGCTGTACTCGTATTCCTGCTGTTCCTCTCCCCTTCCTTGGGCAAAGTTGTGTATAAATTATATTTACATCATTCCTCTGTTGACCAATAGCATATGAGCCATGCACTACAGAAGCTTAACAGACTGCTGGTTATAACTATAACCAGCTATAACTATAACTAGCTTCTCCTAGTTATAAGTGTAATTCACTCCATAAGGAACTTGGAAAATATAGAAAGGTACATAAAATAAAATATCAGATTATAAGGAGTGACTACCGTTTAAAAAATGACTATGATATATTTCCTTTTGGTCTTTTGTCTATACACATATTGTTATACAATTAGGTTATAACATAAATATAAATTTGTATCCTTTACATTTATACTATACATACTTCCCACTTTGTTAAATAAATGTCAGAAATTTTAACCATAATTTATTTAACAAAACCTCTGCTTTGGAATGATGAGGTTGTTTCACATTGTGGTAATAAACACTCTTACACAAAATGATAACTCTATCTTCTACTACTTCCTTAAGCTAGATTGCTAAGTAGGAAATTACTGGATGTCTCAGTTCATCAGGGCTGCTATAACAAAAATATCACACACTGGATGAATAGCTTAAACAATAAATTATTCCTCACAGTTATGGGGCCTGGGAAGTCAGTGTTAAGGCACTGGCAGATTTAATGTCTGGGGAGAGCTCACTTCTGGCTCACAACTATCTCACATGACAGAAGGGTGGAGGGAGTTCTCTGGCTTTTCTTTCACAAGAGCACTAATCCCATTCATTGGTGCTCCACCCACCTGAGTTATTTACTTCCAAAGGCCCCACCTCCAAATGCGATCACACTAGGGATTAAGTTTTAATATACAAATTTGTGGGGCAACACAAGCATTTGGCCTACAGCACTGGGTCCAAATACAATGCAAGAAATACAGATACTTCTTTTAAAATAGTTCGTTAAGAGTAAACTTTATTTTCTGTGTTTTTTAAATGTAAGGACTTTAACACAAGAAGAAAAATAGCCAACAGTAAGCATAGTATTGTGGCCCTTCTTTATCATGGGCATATTGTTTATTAGAATGAGAGCATGTTAACAAATCTTCTTTGCTCACAACTTTAAACACCTGTGTGGTTAAGTATCTCATTCACTACATCCTGGATTGTCAGCAGGTCTAGTACTGGGAATATCTATACCATGCATCCAGGTTAAACCAGGTTTCAAAAAGTCAACCTCGTGCTTACTTACCCTTTTACCTCAGTCTAATTCTGCTCTGGATATTTCCTGCTGTTCTTCCGTCCTTTTCCATGCCTCTTTCTTAGCTGTCTTATCCTTGGCTCACTATCCCGAGTGAGGACTCCACTCTAAGGGTAACACTAAAAATGCCCCTAGTTCAAGTTGCTGTCTCCGTGACATCCAAACTTACCGTGGGATACCGGAGGGAATTTGGAAGAAGGGAGAAGTCACAGTCCTCTGACACCTGCCCTTCCACCTTTGAGGTCCACTGGGCATAAATACATACACAATAATTGTTAAAACTACAGGCTTTAGAAGTACAAATGTCTGGATCTGAGTCCCAGCTCTGCCTTCCCGGGCAAGGAAAAGCTTAGCATCAGGAGTTCACAGTGGTGGTGTGTCTGAAGCAGCCGTGGGACACCCTGTAACAATTGTAGGGTTGGTTGATTGGTTTTTAAAATTTATTTATTTGTTTAATTGGAAGATAATTACTTTACAATGCCGTGATGGGTTTTGCCATACATCAGCATGAATGACCACAGGTATACATGTGTCTCCCCCATCCTGAATCCCCTCCCACCTCCCTCCCCACCCCATCCCTCTGGGTTGTCCCAGAGCACTGGCTTTGGATGCCCTGCTTTATGCTTGGAACCTGTACTGGTCATCTATTTTACATATGACAGTATACATGTTTCAGTGCTATTCCGATTGGTTTTAAAAGAATGTGTAGCTTAAAATCCTTTTTTGAGAGGGAATCTAAAGACAGAATTTGAGGTTCACTGGTTCAAATTAAGTGAAAATACACTAGGATTCAACCCAGAGGATTTCAATTCTTTCCATTGCAGTTTCTAAGTAAACTAAACTAATGGGAATTTTGAAGGTACTGCTTCTGTCAAATCTTTGGACATTTATGGGAAAAAACAAGTGAATGCAATAAAACAGAGGCAGATATATGTACTAAAGATATTTCCAGCAACCGTTAAACCAGTATCATGGAGAGCTTCATGGAAGGCAAGAAAGGACTACTTCCAGTTTTTAAATTATTTTTTGTTAACTATAACTCAAAAGCTATATCTCTTCCTCTCTTTTCAGCCAGCATATGTCCCAAGAAAGCTAATCCCAGTAACAATCATCAAGCAAGGTAATTTGCATGTCTGCTCTGGTTATATGTTTAGAGCTATTTTAATATGCTTTTTAAACTGAGATAATTAAACAGCACATATTTTTAAAAAATATTTATGCTTATTTTTTTGAAAAATAATTGCAGTAGTAAATTAGAAGTTAACAGATAATTTTGACTCGACAAGTAGGCCAAGTCTTGGCAAGGCATATTGGTTGGACATCTGGAGAAAGAACAACCCTAACAAGTATTAAATTTTATAAAACCAATTAAATATATGTGGCTTTCTTCAGGATTAAGATCATTTAGATGTAGGAAGTCATTAATAGGATATTTTGGATTAATGAAATGATAACTATGATTTAGAGCTCATTTTAAGGACTGTAAAGAAATGCAGGTTTCAAGAGTTATGTCTTATTTTAGCATCTAGTCATTTTTGTTTTGACTTTCAGTTTTTCAAATTATTTAAAAGACTCAATTATTTCCAGAAAGTTTTGTGGTGGAAAAGATTGGGCACTTAAAATACGAATTCATTTTAAGAAAACACAATGCCCCAAGTGTATTTTCAAAATGGGGTCAGTTAGTATTGGACTTATCCATAGAATCTTGGCTTTGAGGATATACATTTTCTAATTCATTTTATTTACTGAGTATGTCATTGCCTCATTTTGTGCAAATTATTTAACTTGGGTAGGCTTCAGGGAGTGGAGCTGAGAAAGGAAATTCTAAGCTAATTAGAATGGATCACTTCCTCTACTTAAAGGCATAGGTGTTGGGATGTGCCTTCTAGCCCTTTTGTTGGCTGTGTAGCCAGCCCAGTGAGTTCCTTTCTATTAATTAAAAAAGCATCAGATTTCTCCAGTGCAGATGGCTTTATGTTATTAGCTTCATTCTGCTTCTTGACTGTAATTTTTTTTTTTTTTCCATTCACACTATTATCTTTTGGTCTTTCAACAGTGATTCAGAATGTTACACACAGGGCCTCAACTAAATCTCCAGATAAGACTCCCTATGGAGGAACAATACTGGGTGAGTCTGTCTTGAAATCTATACCTACGTTAAGCAAATCAGGCTCTTGTTTTGATAACAAGGCTGTTACAGAATTTTGCACTGTGTGCAGGTCTGTTAAATTGATGTTGGTTCATTTCTTTTCATTGTTTAGCATCCTGGCTTGTGTCCATTCCAGGTTAGGATCCGACGGTGTTAGGGAAGCAACTCTAGCCTGTACCTATTGGCTCCCTTCCTACCTGCCTACCTGTTGCTATTGTAAGACAGTCTTTGTCATATGGAATAACTCTTTTAAAAGTTACTATTAGTAATGGTGTTTTTAATCTTAAGGAGCCATTCTACAATTCTTGAGTCTGTGGATTAAGTCACAATATTTTGGTTGTTCAGTTCTGAATGTGAAAAGAGATTATGTTTAAAATTTACTGTCATATTTTTTCCCAGATTTTTAAAGTTTGGGTTGAAATTGACTAAACAAAATAAGCTCTAAGCATCATGGTTCCAATGCTCTGAGCTTTGTTTCAGGATGCATTTTCTTTTATTACATCTGTTTTCTTGCAGTCCACCTTGTTATCCCAGGCCTTAATGAAACCACCGTAAAACTTCCCACTTCCATAATGTTCGAGATTTCAGAGGCAATCAAGACACAGTTAGGTAAGCAGCCAAGATTTATATGTGAACTTTGCAGTGACTATACCAGCACTGATATTCATAGTATGTCCAAGGTATCTAGCAAATGAGCTCTTTGGAGATCTTGAAAGGAAAAGTAAGGGACAAACATGTGCATGTGGATGGGAATAAAAGACTGTACAACTGCTGTGGAAAACGGTATGTCCATTCCTCAAAAAATTACAAATAAAATTACCATGAAAGAAAGTGAAAGTGTTAGTCGTTCAGTTGTGTCTGACTCTTTGAGACCCCATGGACAGTAACCCACCAGGCTTCTCTCTCCATAGAATTCTCCAGGCAAGAATAATGGAGTGGGTAGTCATTCCCTTCTCTAGGGGATCTTTCTGATCCAGGGATCGAACATGAACCTGGCTCTCCCACTTTGCAGGTTCTACCATCTGAGCATCAAGGATCAAACTACCTGACCCAGCAATTTCACTTCTGGTTATACAACCAAAAGGACTGGGAGCAGTCTTAAAGAGATACTGGTACATTCATATTCACAGCAGCATTATTCACAATAGCTAAAATGTGGAAACAACTCAAGTGTCCATCAACAGATGAATGGATAAGCAAAATGTGATGTGTATATGTATGTGTGCGTGTGTGTATACATACACACACATACACAGCATGGATAATTATTCAGTCTTAAAAGGGAAGGAAATTCTGACATTTACTATAGTATCAATAGACCTTGAGAACATGATGCTCAGTGATAAGAAGTCACAAAAGACAAAAGACTGTTACTCCACTTATTTGAGATACCTAGAGCAGACAGATTCATAGAGACAGAGTAGAATGGTGGCTCCCAGAGACTGGAGAAGAATGAGGAATTAATGTTTAATGGTGCAGAGTTTCAGTGTTAATAAGGAGAGTTCTGGACATGGATGGTGGTACAACATTGGAAGTGTATTTAATACTGTTGAACTGTATACTTGAAAATGATTAAGATTTTTGTTATGTATCTTTTATCATAAAAAATTGGAAAAAGAAGTAAAGAGTAGACAGAATGGAGTGTTGGAGGTATTCAAATAAATCACATTCTATAGGGAAATAGTTACTTTATATTTTTGAAAGAAGAGTGAATACTGATCAAATTATCCAAAATATAGTAAATTGTACTTATCATGCTGTACTATCAAGGGACGGCTAGATATTTTCAGTGGGAACTGAGGTAAAGGTCGGGTTTGTTTGAATTATTATTTACTTGAGATTGATACTGTTTCTTGCCTTTAGAAAGAACCTGAGGGTTTCCCAAGTGGCACTATTGGTAAAGAACCTGCCTGCCAATGCAGGAGATATAAAAGATGCAGGTTCGATCCCTGGGTCGGGAAGATCCCCTGGTGAAGGGCATGGCAGGCAACTCACTCCAATATATTTGCTGGAGAATCCCAAGGACAGAGGAGCCCCATAGGTGGGCTACAGTCCATAGGGTTGCAAAGAGTTGGACACAACTCATACGACTTAACACACACACACACACACACACACACACACACACACACACAGAAAAAACCTGATATGATTTTAGTGTTTAAAAAACATAAAACAACAATTTGGGGAAATAAACAGCAAAACTCCTTTAAAGGGCACCCAGGAAATAACTGGAGCAGCCAGTGGGCCAAGCTAGTTGCTGCATTTGAGTATCACATTGGTCTGAATTCTCTCCATAGCAGAGGCTCTCAACCCTGATGAAACATGAGAAGCTCTGATGGATTTGTTCCACTGCTGGGATTCACCATACCTCATCAAGGTTGAGATCCGCTGCTATAGAGAGAATTTAGACCAATGATTCAGTTGTTTCTGGGGTGATGCCTGAGAATTTGCATTTCTGCCTGGTACCCAGGTGACACTGATGCTGTTGGTCTGGAAACCACAATTTGAGAACCTCTAAAGTCTCTGGAAAATGTGTCTCTGGTAAATGTCCTGGGCCACTGATGAATATGGAGGAAGATGGCATGATGTAGTAGAAACTGAAAAAGACTTTAAAATGTAGAATATTCTCCTTGAACTAGCTAAGAACTTTAGCACTTGTTATAATTGAATCTTCACGTATTACGAGTTTGAAACAGGTCCAAGCACCTGTTAAGCAACGTTTCTTCAGCAAATATTTAGTAAAGATAACTCGATACCAGAACTACAAGTGGCAGGGGAAGAGACATGATGGTGATTTACACAGACATGGTACCTACACACGCAGGGACCTCAGGCTTAATTTCTCCTCCCTCACTAGAAGTTTGACCTATTCACTTATTTGATGTGAGGCAATCAGAATGTAACAGTTTTAAAAGGCAGACTCTTAAGTTCTCCTTAGCTATAATTTGAGAGTTTCCTGGCAGAAAAAGGATCAAAGCCTTAAGTGAGTAGAGAGGATTAATCAGAGGACTATTACTCTTATAATTTTTGAAAATTTTTCAGAATTGATGCATTGCCATTTTATTAAGATGTAAATATATTTGCCAATAGATCTTTGTGATTTTGTGTGGTCCTTACATTTTTACTGTAAAAATATTCATATCTGTTAGTCTTATGGTGAGTTACTTACAAGAATGTAGATGAGTGATTCTAGGCTTCCTTTCTTTAATTTGTACATCAGAGTTGATCACCTCCTGATTAGCTAAAAAACCTGAGACTCAACTCCACATCCTCTAAATGTTGTGCTAAAGCCAAGAGGATTCCAAAGTAAATTCCCTCAGTGAAGCTGTGTTTAGAACCGGAGCTCAGAGCTCTTGCACTCACCAGTTCTCTGCCCAGAGCCTGTGGACTTAGCCCTGTGCCTGAGAAAGATTTGTTTAGAAGGAAAAGAAAAGGAAGGAGCTGACTGATTTCTTACGGATTCAGCCCCTCATCTGTTCATCAAAATACAAAAATCAGGATTTGTGAAGGAGACTGAAAACGAACAGGATTTTTCCCCAGACTCCTGCTGTCATTTTTGAACTGAGAGGTGTTTTAACTCTTAGTTTTGATAATATCTATCTCCTAATTTTTTTGTTTCATTTTTGCAAATTTCCACCTGCTACCTTAATATCAATTCAGTTTTTTGCTTTCTCTAACTTAGAGAATTAAACATTTGATTTTTTTGTTTGCTTTATTATTTGCTTTTTTTATTCGGAAACAAATCACCAAGGCTTCAGGATTACGTGTGATTTTAGTGGAGAAAATTCTATGCAAATAGAAGATGCCTTTTAAAACTTATTTCTAGGGAAACACCTATCTTTAATGCATGGCAAATTTTTGACACATTGAAGAGACTGATAGGCAATATGTTTGAAAATGTCCAATAAATCCATAAAATGTACAATCTTAGACTATGTTCACAAATAACATTTTAGATTTACTATTTTTTTTAATGAAGAGTGAGCATAAACATTTCTTTATACCAGTGAGGGAGAAATAAACTTTCCTGAAGTTATTTATCACTGTCATTCAGAAAAATCATACTGTGTGAAAGGCAAATCCTAAAAATAATATCCTCAATCTAGCAGATCCCAGCATGGGACATCAAGAAATTAATAGGTTTTGTTCTGGGAATACATGATGTGAATAATGAGAGAAATAAAAACTAGTGATATACACACTTCCCAGGAATATAGAAATGGTTTGCCAAAGCCAAGACTTAGCTTGCCAAGGATGAAAGGAAACGACTGTGTTGAAAAAAGATACAGAAGAATCAGAGAGGAAAAGTTTCCCGGGTTTTAGGCCACGCTCTCACGGCATTTTTACTCTGCTGTTGCCAAGACTGGTTGTACATGCATAGTGTGGGTGAATACTCATGGCTTGATAGGAGTCATAAAGAGTCTCCACTCAAGCATCTTTCCCTTCCACCAATTTCTCATATGTCTGAAGTCCCATATTTAGAAATACAATATTCCCAGGTGGTGCAGTGGGTAAAGAATCTACCTGCTCATGCAGTAGATGCAAGAGACATGAGTTCGTTCCCTGGGTTGGGAAGATTCCCTGGAGGAGGAAATGGCAGCCCACTCTGGTATTCTTGCCTGGAAAATTCCATGACAGAGGAGCCTGGCGGGCTACAGTCTATGGGGTAGCAAAGAGTAGGAGATGGCTGAGCACATGCACACATGCCTCTACAAGGAATTAGTGATGTGTAGAGAATATAAATACCTCTTGGGAAGGTAGTTAACCATTTTTCTTCATTAACAGCCTAATTTTAGTTTAATGTAATTGCCCTGTAAGGGCATGCATAAAGAGCTAAAACAAAGCAGCTCAGGGCATTGCCTGAAAATCTAGGATCTGGAGGTTAAAATAAATAATTTTTTTTAAATAAATAAATACATAGTCCTAGTTAGCTAAGGAATCACCAAGAGCGTAGGATATTACACAAGAAGGAAAGATTAGCAAAAATCATCCTGAAGGAGAAGAGGACACTGAAAAAGAAGAACATTGAAGATAAACCTTATAATCTTACATAAAAAAAAAAACCCTTCCTTTGTTACATGCTGAAAATAACAAAACTAGAGCTCATCAATCTTTGGACTCAAGAAGGAGGGGATATATGTGTAATTATAGCTGATTTGCATCACTGTACAGCAGAAAACACAGCATTGAAAAGCAGTTTTCCTTCAATTAAAAAATAAATTTAAAAAATTGTAATCTGAAGGTTTTTTTCCTGTGCCAACAATCACAGTGGTTCTAAACCAAAGTCCTGACTACAAAAGAAGCAGAAAAGACATGTTGATGAGATTTAGAAATCTAAAAAGTATTTATCATAAAATTATGCTGAATCTGTTTAGTTTTCTAGTTATTCCAGAAAAAAAGTCCCTTCTCGTTATGCCCTGCTACATTAATTGAACAGTGGCATTAAACATTTCTGTTGTATAAATATTGTGCAGCTTCACGTGCACAAAAATAGAGAATGTACACTTGACGGATAGCCAAGGGGAGGACACGAGCACTTGTGACGCCTGTTTCTAGCAGTTTAAACCACTCCTGAGAATCATTAACTCTAGGAATCTATTGTACGCTTCCATGATACAGACTGAAAATTGATTTGCTTCCATGGTCTTTGTGAAAGGGATGACTATATAACTGTCTTTAAGATCATCAAAAAATAAGTATTTTGTGCCCATGTTAACTGAAAAGAAGAAAATGATCTTTATGGCAGTGATGTAAACTGCAGGAAGAAGTTACAAAATTTGCATCCTTGAAGAACTTTGAGAGAACAGATTAGATCAGTAGTTTTCAGCAGAGGGAGATTTTACCTCCTCCCTCCCCTTCGTCTGGCACCCCACTCCAGTGCTCTTGCCTGGAGAATCCCACGGACGGAGGAGCCTGGTGGGCTGCAGTCCATGGGGTTGCTAAGAGTCGGACACGACTGAAGCGGCTTAGCAGCAGCAGCAGCAACAAAGACATTTTGGGCTTCCCAGGTAGCTCAGATGGAAAAGAATCCTCCTGCAGTGCAGGAGACTCTGGTTCGATTCCTGGGTCAGGAAGTTCCCCTGGAGAAGGGATGGGCTACCCCCTCCAGTACTCTTGGACTTCCCTGGTGGCACAGATGGTAGAGAATATGCCTGCAATGCAGGAGACCTGGGTCCCATCCCTGGGTTGGGTTGGGCACATCCCCTGGGGGAGGGCATGGTACCCACTCCAGTGCTCTTTCCTGGAGAATCCCCGCGGACAGAGGAGCCTGGTGGGCTGTGGTCCTCGGGGTTGCAGAGTCAGAATCTGAGCGGCTAAGCATAGTAGAGACATTTTGGTTGTCACAGCTGTGGAATCCAGGGCATAAAGCCCAGAAATACTGTTAATATCCTACATTTCACATAAGGCCCCCATAATTAAAAAAAAGAAAATATACAGTCACAAACGTCAATAGTGCCAAAGTTGAGAAACCCAAGGAGTTCCTTATGGCCTTAAGACTTAAAATCCCATCTGAATATAATCAGTTCAAGGTGACATGATCAGCATATCTCAAAGAAAAATGAATTCTTTCATGCTACTAGACTTTCAAAATATTATAAGTAGGTCATTGATTCAGTGTACCAAATCGATGAATCGAGTTAATCCTACATGCATTTTTTGAAATGGAGAATATCTTAATCATTGGGCAACTCTGGCACAGAAATGTACTTTCGTTGAAGAAGAATACCTGAATTTTAGAAGTTTTCTGAATAGTTGTCAGAAGAGAAAAAAAAAAATTTCATTTGTTTACATTGAATTCCCACACAGACCCAAAGAAAAGATCTATGTTAATATGTGGCTCAAATAAATAACCACTTGCAATTTTTTAACCACAAGTATCTTCAAATATCTTCATTTCCTATGTACATTATTGTTTTTCTAAAACTTTATTGCCGTAACCTATTACATTTTTACCATATATAAAAATTGGATAATTTCTTTTCATTGATTTTTTAAAAAAATTAGGAGTAATTGAGTATAAAGTTCCAGGGAGCATTTTGCTATACAACCTATGTCTTCAAGAAACTCTGTTTATGAATCAGAATGACTTGACAGCCAGCCAAATACTGCGTTGTCACTTTTTTCTTCCTTCCAGTGCCAACTTAGATCTTAAAGTATTACCTAGGGTTAATGAGAAGGAATTCTGAAGACTGTCACTACTAATACTAATCACTGGTAGAAATTCACAATAATTGTATTGACTGCCTGGTGGGAAGGGATATGAGCAGAATAGTCTTGAAATAGTCTGTTGGTTGATTGTTTTGAGGGAATTATATTTGGACACTATTATGTGGAAGTGAGGTAAATTGTTTGTTCTCTGAATTTTTAGCTAAGAATGAAACCTTGGCATTGCCTGCTGAATCTAAAACACCAGAGGTAGAAAAAATTCCAGCACTGCCCATAACAGGTAATGAGATCCCTATGTTTATTAACTTTGAGAAAATACATAATATATATTTTCAAACATTAAGTGATTGATAAGCCTGTATGTTTTTTTTTCAGTGAAGAGCCAGTAGGAAGTTCATTTTGATCATAAGCACACAACAATAGGAGACTCTGGGTCTTTAATGTTCGGGGAAACAACAGATGCAAAATGAGCAATTGAATTATATAACTGATATGTAACAATAGAACCTGCATTATTCACTCCAGGTGAAAGTTGTTACCTCAACATTCTGAAATATTTTTATACCAAGATGTAATACCATGGTTTTGGTGCTTTCCATTTATAAGAAGACATGAGAGCATTTTTCAGTTCTTCACTTTCACAAGTGATTGGTTTAAAAAAAATACCGTTATCCATACTTTGATATCTATGAAAGTACCCTGGAATAATTTAGTAAATGGCTCTTGAAGATTAAAAACCTTCATGAAGAAAATACATAATAGTTCATTTTAAAAAATCCTTTAAAGAATAAATTCAATGTGCGTTTTCCCCAGTTTATCAACCATTACTAACAAACAAACATTCAGCATTTTTTCTGTGGACAAACTGCCCAAGTCCAGCCCATCAGGGACACATTATTCTCTGAATTACAGAGTATTTGCCAGAGCAATACCACCTCATTCAGGACTCTGTGAAACAAATACCTAGCAAGGATTCCCTTGCTTCATTTAGCGAAGTAACTCCAATCTAAAGTGAGTTTTTAATCCATAAAATTGCTGTAAATTGAAAAATCAGTGATATTTACCTTGTACTAAACTCTGACTCAAGACTTGTACAGAGAAGATAAAGATTGGCGGGGAAATAAAATGACCTGATTTCAGTAAACCTATTCAAGTAAAAATATTTCTGACAGAATAAGAAGTATTTGGTCCTGACTGAAGGTGAGAGATGGACCTTCCATCCCCTCCCTACCTTCACAGAAATTGAAGAAAAGGTATAATCTGATGCTGGAGTAATCTATTTGAATAAAATTCCTAGGTAGTTTTCTGACTTCAGTCTAATTGGTAAATACCAAAAATGGATAGGCATGACCCAGTGGAGATTCTATCGACTTCTCCCAATTATACTTCTTCTCTTGGGATAGTATATGGTGAGGGCGTCTATAGATTTCTTAGTTCTCTGCCAAAACTTCCTTGAGACTTTCCACTTCAGAAATGCTTAGACAAACTTCGTAATTTATTATTCACTGTTATTGTGTTTATTTCATATCCTTACCCTACAAAATTCTGGAATTGTGTAGCTCACAATTCATGCCAGATTTCAGTGATCCTGGTTCTTATTTCTTAAAAACAATTTACCTGAGGGTCATCTTTACCTTTGATCTAGTACTTGAAATAACTCTGTGACTGAGCACTTGAATCCTTATAATTTCAACCCTCTTCTAAGCTTTTCATGTTGATTGCAGTTTGGAAAAGAGAATTCTTATAATGTAATAGTTCTAAATAAATCTTTTTGTCCTGGGTCATTCTTTTAGCTGCCCATTTATTAACTCATTTAATAAATATTTATCATGTGCTTGCTTACTATTCTCCAGAGTTTGTGCTAAGTTCTGGAGATAAAGAGAAAAAAAGGCACACAAGAAATTATGAATAATCTGTTAAGTGCTTCCATGAGGGTCAATTCCATGTGCTTTTTGAAATACCTGGAAAGTGGACAAACCCAGAAGGGAATGGTTGGAAGGAAGTGTCAGTTCAGACACTGGGCTGAGCCAGGGAGCCCTTACCATAATTAACTTGGAAAGAATTGGTCTGTGTACATGTCAGTTCTAATTCTAAAGGGCAACAACAGTACCTTATGGTTCTGAGTTGTTTCATTTTATCTTAATTCATAAAGTCGTCTTTTTTCCCTTCCAGTGACTCCTGAATCAGTTCCAAGAACCACTAAGCCCACTGTGTCTAGTGCATTAGACATTTCAGAAACAACACTGGGTAATTCTAAGAACTTTTTTTTCCTTTAAAAACAAAAACCGCCCCAATCCTCATAGAAAAATAACCTCAGTGCCTTGGCTTCCCATCCTCCCCACTTTCTTTCCTCCCTTACAGGCAGTAGTTCATCTTCCTATTTCTTGGATCAGTTCCTTTAAAGAGTTAACAACATGCCTTGATCCTGGTGACTAATATTTTAGGCAGCTCTGGATGTTAGATGCTAACTGCACACCCTTTTTACCAGCCTCTTGGGAGGCATAGAACACCAGAATGCCAGCCCTCTAGTCTACAAAGCTTGGAGCGGTGAGAGTCGTGACTGTGTCTATGCTTCCCATTTCCGTTGGCTTTTCCTAGGCTTATGTGTAGTAAGCTTAAGGAGACTACTCAAAAGTGTAATGCTTTTTACTAAGAATTTCATGTCATGCAAGTTAGCTGTTTATTGGGCTGAGAGAATCTAAGTTGCTTTATTCTCTTCTCCAAAAAAAAATTTAAAAAAGGAACAGCATGTACATATATTGTTCTGTCCTTGTGATGTTGATCTTCCATGTCACACCATGGCTATTCAAAGGTAGACCTTCAAATTAATACAACTGTGTAAAAACTTTCCAGGGGAAGCCAGCTATTTAGATGAAAGGTATCAGTTGCCCAATGTACCCTCCATTATGAGCATGCCTCACACGATACGATTAAGTCACAATGTCAAATCCTGACTCGGGGTGTTTCTAACTGAATTCTTCTTTATTGCAGTTCTCAGGGGAAGGACCCCCGGAACATCACAAACTATTTTAATACCTAGGTTTGAATTGCCACTGAGCACTCTAGGTAAAAATTATTAAACACTATAGCTTATTATTTCCTTGGAAATTTTATGCATGCCTGAAAGAAACCCTTAGGCTAACTCATTCAAATTTATCTTCTCACGGAAAAGAAGGGACACATGGCTTACAGAACAATAAATGCCTGAATGCCAAACTCTTAGATGCTATAAATTATTTTATAATTTAGGATACTTACTAGTCATTCTCTCTATAAATCCTTTGGCTGTTTTCCTTGGGAATAGTCATATTTTGATATTATATTTGACTCTTAATTCAAAATCATTGTGACTGAATAAATTATTTTCTGTATTTTTCCAAAATAGCTTTTTACTCAACTGTTTCTCTTGAAAGAGAAGATATATTTATGATATTTCTATAGACTGCTTCTTAGAATTCTTAGAATTTGAATGTGATATCAAGGAAGTTTTGGGGAAAACTTAAGTATAAAGACATGTAATTACTGCAATTCTGTTTTTAAAAGCTATTGGAGGAACATTGTCTAGTTTAGATGTGCTTGATTTGAATTGAAGCAAAATATATCTGAGAGCACACATATGTATTGCTAAAAAAATTAGAACACTAGTTTAATAAAGGTGAGAAGAAGAACCCAAACTCCTTAAATTTAGTGGCCTGATTATAAAAATTAGGAAAAAGACGCTGTCTTATATCATCCATCATTGAAACACAGGAGAAAAATTATGTACTAGTAACAGTCCCTTACCTTTCCTGAGTCATTTGCATTTTTGTGTTTGTTTTTTTGTTTCTGCAAGCTTGAGATTTTAAAGACCTTTTCTCTTACTTGCATTTCGAGTCATAACATCTCTTGTGTATTTTGTTGCAGCTCCAAAAAGGCTTCCAGAATTTCCTCAGGCAAAAACACCTTTCCCTTTTGAGAAAGCTGGGGGCACCTTGGGTAATAACAGTACCTGACTCTGCTGTTAAATTGTGGGTGGTGACTGCTTAATCCTGTAGGGCACGTTGACTGGATCCTAGCTGTGCAAACCTCAATGAGCTGATGATTGCAGTCTGACTCAGCCAAACAAGTGGTTGACTTGATTTAAAACATTTTTTTCTCTGAGTTTTCTACAAATTCAATAACAGTTATTAGTCTGTTAATTCCAGAGAGCCAATTTTGTTAGTTTTCTGTCCTCAGAAACATTAAGAGTATGACACCAAACCATTTACTGGTCACCGTCTAGACCGTGTTCAAATGCTCTCTGAATGAGTGTAGTGTATTGATTGCTTCTTGGTATATAATGATATTTGGTTGGATCAGTGTGTGTTTTTTATTTCAGGCTACTGATAGCCATTTAACGACACGAGCAATCTATTTCTGTCTCTCTATCCTCTCCAAAAAAAAAAAATTCTCAGTGAATTCCATTTCTTTTTTTGCTGTAGCTTCAAGTGAAAAGCCAGGGATTGTGCCTACAAGTAAAATATCTGAAGATTCCAAAATTCTACTGCCTCAAACTGGTAATTACATTCTTTTAAAAAAAAAAATAGATTGGAGCAACAGTATTGAATAACTTCTCTTATTTTTATTTCTATAGGTTCTTTAATTGATTATCCATATATTTGTAGTAAATGGTAAAGCTATAATCTATTGTTGGTGCTTAGATTAATTTCATTTTTCTCAATACAAAAGCAAAATGTTTTTGCATTTGTTCTAAAGATCTGTGTTTTAATGTCTGGATATATAGTTAGAAGCCTGGCTAGAAGATGAACTGCAAGTTGGCTCACTGAACTTCTAGACATCTCTTTTGTGACATGAGAACAGTAACAAAAATAAGCTCTATGGTAGTCGTATTTAACAATGTGAATTTAATATTTCCCTTGCAGGTAGACATTTGCTTCTTTTTTCAATAAAATATTCAGTGAACATTTGAGTGTTTACTACATGCAAGATATTATTACTGAGTCCTAAAATCTGTAAACATATTGTAATTTAGAGGAGAGACCACAGGTCTTAGCACTAATATTGGACCTTGGTTCCAGTTCTGGCTTTACTACCAACCACATTTTTTAGCTGTTTTCTCTACTTTTCTGGATCTTAGTTCGCTCTTTTGTAAACTGTAGCAATCATCTTTTTTCTCCTGAGAATTCTTGTATTCTAACACTAAAACTGAGGGAAACAGCTTTCCTCTTCAAAAAACAGATTTTTTCTTCCCTCAAAAAGTTTTTACCTTTACAGCTTTTCTTTGATGTCTAGCAGTCAACGAAAGAAATTATTTAGCATGTGAGAATTGTAAGGAAACCTCACAAACCACTTTGTGTGATTACTTCCATGATTTTTGTTTCACTTCTTTTTCATTTTGTTAACCTTATAGTTGTGATTCTTTTAGCACATATAACTAGCATGTAATGTAGTTAGACATTCATGTAATGACATTAAACACACCACCATTCTGTGATATTCTTCAGAAAGGAGTTCAGCGTCTGACTGGTTTGAGAAAGAATGAGCATGGGCTTATGGACACGTAGATCTTAGTCAAATTATCTTTCTCTGGTGAATGTAATGCATTCAGATCTTAGCAAAAGACACAAGGACGGCACAAACGAACTGAGTGTGTCTGTTACGGTCTCCCCTAGTTTTCTCAAGTGGGAAAACATCTCTAAGTTGGCTGTGGTTGTCAGCCAATCTAGAGAAGCCTTAAATTGGGTCTTTCTAAGCCTTAATTCCCCATGTCCCTGCCGTTAAAATTCTACTGCAATTACTAATTGTTGGTGCAAGACTACCTTGAGAACCTGAGTCACTTGAGTATAAAATCGGGTGGAGTTTCACACTCCACCACGGCACTGACTCTGGAGCAAGGCTCATCTGTGGGCGTGTGTGCTGGTGTATCTGCTCCATTACGGCAGAGCTTACCTGGCCCGCCTCCAACCCCCCAGCCTATACAAGCATCACAGCTACCAAACCGAGGACTGTTAGGGCCCACTGAACTAACACACCACTAGCTGCCGCTGCTGCTGCTAAGTCGCTTCAGTCGTGGCCCACTCTGTGCGACTCCATAGACGGCAGCCCACCAGGCTCCGCTGTCCCTGGGATTCTCCAGGCAAGAACACTGGAGCAGGTTGCCATTTCCTTCTCCAATGCATGAAAGGGAAAAGTGAAAGGGAAGTTGCTCAGTCGTGTCCAACTCTTAGAGACCCCATGGACTGCAGCCACTTAGGTCCCTTTTATCTCTTAACTTTTAGGCTATAAACATAGGGACATAGATTTTCCTGGGCTTCACTTGACCAGCCTCTAGATTTTTGGTGTCTATGATTATATAAGAGCAAACTGACCAAAACCTCCAGGAAACCCTTTCTGTGATTTTAATGCCTAGGATATGAATTATATATAAAGCCTGAATTGAAGTGAGCTTTGGGGAATAGGGAGAATATGCTGGGAAGTGAAGATTGTGAAGTTACAAAGAGGATACAGATAGATGAGACTGGAAATCCCAATAAAAGAAAGGTTCCTTTAATTCTGGTTTTGCCCTGAATAGAGGCTAATGCAGCAGGAAGCAGTTTATTATTCAGCTGCCTCACTCCTGCCAGGTCCACTTTAGGATGCCAGAGAACTTTCAAAATCTGTCAACTGTCAGCCGTGTCTAGATGAAGTGCTGGAGCTTGTCATGGGCTCTAAGAGTTCAGTAGATATGGCTGCAGGCATAAGAATCAGCCATAGAAACTCCCTAGTCTGCCCTTGGAATACTGAATTGTTAAGCCTGGGCTACTTGGTGTGATGTTTGGACAGGCAGCATTAGCATCACCAGGGAACTTGTTAGAAAGGCTGAGTCTTGGGCTCTACTTCAAATCTAATGAATTGAGATCTGCTGTTTAACAAGATCTCCAGGTGATTTGTACGAGCATTAAAGTTGAAGAAGCACTACCTTTTCACCGTAGTCTGTAATATTTCACATGGTGCAGATAAGAAGCATCAAATGTGGTCAATTACAGGACAGTGGGCTGGAGAAATCAACGTAAAGTTGATTGCTCAAAGTGGGTGGTTAAGTATTTGTTGTTTCTGCTAAGGCTTTTAACGCTCACTCTTATTTAAGTGTTCTATGGGATCTTCTTAACATGTTCGATTTCAGATTATAATACGTGTTATTTGTGATTTAAAAAGTTGATATAGTCACACAATCCTTTCTTTCATTTCAGTCTTTGTTTCTTGATTGGTTTTGTGAATTTATACGTGCACTAAGTTTCTATTTCCTGTTTAGTTTCAACATATATGATTATTGTTTTTTCCAGTTACTCACATGGCTTCCTAATGCAATTAGTTGAGAATTAAGAAGAGAGAGAGGGTCAGAGATAGTTCTTGAATGCAGTCCATAAAAAACATTTGTCTTGTTTTTACTTCTTATATCTTTTGAAGAAATTATATATTTCAGCTGGTATTAATCATATTATTACAGTGAAATGAACACATTGTGTTTTCTATGTTGAAATACAATGCATCTGTATTTACTCTGTCAGTTACCTTCAGCTATATTTGAACAAAGTTAAGTTTATTTACTTATTGTAACAATGAGATTGTAGACCATGAGGAACTGGATTTCTTAGTAAGAGGATGTTGGGAAGGATGTCTTATGGGATTTAGTCTTGTGTTAGGTAATTCTGGGGAGGGTTTAAGAAAGTGAAGCTTTGCTCTGAACTGGATATTGTCTGAAAATGGGAAAAATCTGATAAAAAGTTTTAATGATTCTTAACTAGAAGGCAAGAAAAGAGGAGTGAGACTATAGTTGTGATTGATAAAAAGAGCCAGGATATGAGGACAGTAATTTTTGTGTTCTTGCATTTGTGTTCCACACAATTACCAAATGGTCTTGTTTTTGCCTTGGTCCATCTTGGTCATAGGTGAACTTGTCTGATATTGGTGTTCTCAACTGTTGATGTCCAATAGGCAAACGCCACAGCCAAGCTATGAGTGCCTGGCTGGCACTTGGGTGCCAGAGGCTGATTGTCTCTTCATCAACCATTAAACATTTATCAATACCATTTGTGAAATTCATTTTGCTTCAGAATTTGCTAGATTTGTTTTCCACATTTACTTCATACTCTGTATCAAATGATCCAAGTGCATGCTCTCATAAAGATTTCTATATTACTTTTGGCTATAAAAACCTATATGGAAATTCTAACTTGCATGTTGAATATTGAAATCATTTCAATAGTTGATGGCAAGAGTGGGACAGCGTATTTGGAATTTGGACTGTCCTAGGAAATCTGAGAAGTGTAGTCATCAAACATATTCTTCGCCACTTTGAGCCTATTGGCCCCAGTGCTTCATTAGCACAGCATTTTGTGATCTCATTATTTGGAATTTTATTTTGTTTAAACCTCCTCTAAAGTATGTTGAAGTAGGATTGATTGATTTTGACTTCCTTGGCAAAATCCAACCTTTCTTAAAATACAAAAAGGAAATTATAAAGATCTGCTCTTTTGCTATATGCCAAAATGTAAACTTATGTATAAATTCTGTATTATAAAAAAGTTGGCCACATTTTAGAGATACTTAAGTGCTTGTAACAATCATTTAGAAAAGTCAGTCTCTCTGATGATGCAATAGAATTGGTCTTATGTTCTACTGGAGAGTGGCCAGTTGACTATGATTTCTATTACTATAGAGTGAGTTCTGGGAAAGCTCTCAGTACCGCACCCCCCCCCCCCCGCCATGAGTTGTGCATCTGCATGCATGTGTACATGCTTGTTGGAGTACTTCTTCACTGGAATAATATGATTTTGTATTTGCATAACAGTCTTATGTTAAGAGATTCAAAGGGTTGTACGTACACCAGCATATCAATCTTCCAGAAGTCCCTGGAAGCAAAGGGAGTTTTGTTCAGTTCCTTGGTCATGTCCAACTCTTTGCAACCACATGGACTGCAGCACACCAGGCTTCCCTGTCCTTCACCATCTCCTAGAGTTCACTCAAACTCATGTCCACTGAGTCGGTGATGCCATCCAACTGTCTCGTCCTCTGTTGTCCCCTTCTCCTCCTGCCTTCAATTTTTCCCAGCATCAGTCTTTTGCAGTGAGTCAGTTCTTTGCATCAGGTGGCCAAAGTATTGGAGCTTCAGCTTCAGCATCAGTTCTTCCAGTGAATATTCAGGACTGGTTTCCTTTAGGACTGACTGGTGTGATCTCCTTGCAGTCCAAGGGGTTCTCAAGAGTCTTCTCCAATACCACAGTTCAAAAGCATCAGTTCTTCAGCATTCAGCCACCTTTATGGTCCAACATCACCATTTTCTTTTCTTGTATTTTTGTTTCTTTTTTTTTTTTTGCATTTTATTGAAGTGTAGTTAATTTGCACTGTTGTGTCAGTTTCAAGTGTATAGCAATTGATTCAGTTATACATACATATTCAGTTATATATATGTAATATATATTCTTTTTCAGATTCTTTTCCATTATAGGTCACTATAAGATACTGAGTGTAGTTCCCTGTGCTATGCAGTAGATCCTTGTTGTTTACCTATTTTATATACAGTAGTATGTATCTGTTAATCCTAAACTCCCAATTTAATTAATAAAAAGAAAGAAAAGGAGCAACAAAGAATAGAAGTATGCCCAATGATTCTTGGGTCTTCATTTCACTTGTCTAAAAATGTCTAAGGAGAATCAGTTCAGTCACTCCGTCATGTTCAACTCTTTGTGGACATGTGTCTAAGGAGAATTGACCCGGACATATACAGTGTACTTTGAAGAGATCCTGCAACCCCACGGAAATGGCCTGATGTCCTATTAACCCCATGGCACTGATGGTAGATATCACATGACCACACTGATTGGGTTGAGTGGGAAGCCTGAATCATGCTATTAACTGGGCTCCCAGCCCCTGCCTAGGGCAGAGAGTAAAAGGTGACCATGACCAACACGATGTGTTTTCCATGGGCATCAGAAGTGGGAGAGATAGATAGATACACAGATGGGCAGACAGATAGATAGATATCTTATCCTACAGATGGAGCAGATGCATGATTTCTAAAGCCCATATATGATTGGAGAAGGAGGATAGAAGTCAGTCTTGTTTCTGGCTTGCTAATGCTCTCAGTGTTAAGCCGCCTTAATTTACTTGGTCATCCCCTTAAAAGACCATCATTTAGGACCAGGAGGGATTTGAAACCTTAATCAGATAATGAAAATGGCTTTTTTTATATAACCCAAGATGATCCAATGTGTTTATTTGCATCCTTAGAAAATTCTCCTGTCTGTTCTTCCCCCAACATGTCCTGACAAACTAACTTTTCCCTTTAACTGTTCTGTAGCTTATTACTAAGATGACTGTCCCTTCTGGCCTAATTATTTCCCCTTGAGCAGTAAACAATTCTCTTTAGAGACCTCCCCGGACAACACTCCCTAGAGAGCAGTCTGCCTCAGTCTTCATTAGCATCCAGTTTGGGAATTCCCTTTAGGAGTTTACTACTATATTCAGTGTTTTGTTCTTTCAGTACGTTATAGAGCTTTAGTAAATTGCTGTCTGCAGTTAAGCTCTAAAAATTATTTAAAGACTTGAGAGCTGAAGTGATCCGCATGTTCAAGGAGTGGTACACTGGTCGGGAAGTTTGGGCCACAGGTGGTTTGCTCACAGTGGTTGAAAAGAGGCTGAACTCTACTTTTGGACCTTATTGTTTGCCTGTGGGGTATTGATTAGCGTAAATCTGGCCCACCCAACTGGATTAAACCCTAGAGAAGAGAAAACATAGGAACAAATGGTGGTTTGATGGCTTGTGATCAGGAAAATAAAATTTAAGTGTACGGAATGGTTTATATATTTACAGTGCCCTCTTAGAGATTTACAGCCAGAGCCATTGGTTTGGCTTCATGAGAGTTTTCTTGTAGGCAATATTTTCACAAATTTCAAGGCCAACTAGAAAGGTATTTTATCTTTCTAAGAAATGTAAGAGAGCTTTATGTCCTTATTTAAATGGTACTCAGAACTCTGCATGTGGTGTTTATAGATGCTTTTCTCATCCAGCTACGTACTGCTGGCCTGTTGTATTTTCCCCTTGTATCTTCCTATTTATGTTTAGGGTTCTATTTCCATGGCAGGGTATGACCACCCAAACATATGAAAGGTAATTGTATAGTAGAGGAAGAGATTTGTGTGCACACATATGTATGCTCTAAAAATAAAGAATCTGTTCATTTATTCTCGTGTATCCTTACTAAAAGCATAAACCACCCAATTGTTAAACTCATTGCTATTTGTTCACAGTAATGGAAATCTTGCAGATTAATTTCATTGAGTCTTCCTGTGTACAAGGCTCTGGAAGTACAACCTTGAAGTATGTAAAGAGTGTAACAAGCACAATTTCTGTCGTAATGAGGTTGTAAGGTTTTTCATATACGAACTTATGTTTAAAAAGAAGTCTTAATATATATGCAATGGAATAGCACTCAGTCATAAAAAGAATGGAATAGTGTCATTTGTGGCAACATAGATAGATCTGGAGATTATCATACTAAGTGAAGTAGATCAGACAGAGAAAGACAAATATCATATGATATCCTTATATATGGACTATAAAAAATGATACAAATGGATTTATTTACAAAACATAAATAGACTCACAGAGATCAAAAAGAAACCAGTGGTTACCAAAGGAGAAAGAAGGTGGGCCCATGCTCAATAGAGTTAGAAATAGGTAGAATTTGACCACTGACAAATGTCTTCACCCCAGTGAATCTCAATTTTAATATCTAGAAAATGGAGTTACTACCCCATTGACTGTAACATGGGGTTAATGTCTACCTCACCTATTTCTCAAGGATATTGAGAGCGTTAAACAAGCTGATATGTGAGAAAGTGCTGTCAAACTCTAAAGTACTACGCAAACTGTAAAGTACCGTCCAGACATCATGATGGTAACTTTTACTCAATAGAAAAGCTAAGCTGTGGTCTTTGTGCAAATTACCTCAGTGTGACTGTTCTTCTTTGGAAATGTCTCCTAAAATTGCCATCTGACTTCATTTATGTATGTACTCTTTGAAGCTCTGTGATTTACAGCTGGCACTGATCCATTGTAAACAAATAGCACTAGCTCACATCACCCTAGGGGCCAGTCCTTCAGTTCAGAGCAAGAAGGACTAGGGGCCAGTCTTTTAGTGATTGCTTCAATCTTACCGACAAGACCAGCAGCCCACGGCCCAAGCTCTAGCACCTACATCAACTGTCCTCCTTCAGCCAGCATTAAAATATGTCATGAATTTCTTTTAAAATTAACCAAAATTAACATCTTCTCTTTTGTTTTACTTTTTCTTTTAAAAGCCACTTATGATGTTTTCTCAAGCCCTACAACATCAGATGAGCCTGAGATATCAGAGCCCCACACAGGTACACCCAGCCTCTCAATTCTTTTTTTTTTTTGGATGCCAGGTATTGTGACAATTTTTGTAGAGTGAAAAAGTATACTCTCTAGAGTTCCACAGGAGAAATGTGGCAGTCTCTGTCAGGGAGATGAATTCTGCCCCCTTCTCCCACCGAACGATAATGTCTCCATGCCCTCCAGTAAATAAACTCTGCATATGTGGGACATGCAGAAAGATTAGGTTGCCTCTCAGGCGCACTAAATAACAGCCTAGTGCTCTAGTGATAAGAATCATTCTGAAAAGGTTTTAGAATTCGGAGTTTTCCCTGGAGTAGTGGTTCTCCAGTAGGGGGTGATTTTGTTCTTTTCCCACTGAGGAACTATTCAGCCATGGTTAGAGGTATTTTCGGTTGTCTCCAGTGGGGAACGTGTTGCTGACATCTAGTGGATTGAGCCCACGGATGCTGCTAAACCCCTGCGAGGTACAGGAAAATCCCCACAATAAAGAATTATCCAGCCCTAAAGGGCAGTAGTGCCAAGGTGACAAATCCTGCTCTAGAGCAGTCACGTCACTCATTTGTCTACAGACGTTCAGTTGGGTCTAACTTTGGCATTCACTTACTGCTCTACCTATGTGTTTAACTTAATCTGATGGTTTCTTTTAGCAAGTATTTTGTTATACACTTACTAAATTAGGTACTGCAGGAAATTCAAAGTAAATAACACCTGGTCTCTGCCACACAAGGACATATGTCTGGTATTTTGGGGGGTATGTGTAGCCATATATGGGCACCATGATAAATACAGGCAAATAATTTTAAAAAGCAGCAGAAATTTTTAAAAGATGAAACAGAATGTTATGAGCAGATTCAGCTAGCAATTCAGAAACAGGGAAGGAACCAGGAAAAACAGTTGAAAACTGTTGAATGTGTGAAGCACCATTTTATCATGGTTTCTAACGTTTGAAGTGTGTATGTTTTTAAACATGAGCTCATCTTCAACTCCTAATGAATCACTAGTTTTAAAATGTTGGTCAGCCATCTCTCAAGTGTTCTTGATATTTTTCCCCATTTGAGGCATAATTTATTACTCAGGAATTTTGTATTTTATTCCTGGGGCCTTCTACTGCTTTTATAAATGTTGACATTTATTCCAACAGCAACAAGCGATCCACTTCTGGACTCTGTCCCACCTAAAACTTCTAGAACTCTTGAACAGCCAAGGGCAACACTGGGTAATGTTTTTAACAGAAAAATTCTACTTTGTTTTCCATCAAAAGAAAATCCATGTGAATGCCTTTCTTCCAAATGACCATTTCATTCCATCACATCTACTCATTTATTTCTTTCCTTTTTCTGAATATAATATATATTTTTCCCTACAATGCAGGCATCTTATGTTCCATTTGGGCTCTCTCTTTCTCTCTCTCATTTTTGAACTGTAATGAATGATATTTTTTCCATCATTAAAGGAATGAAAAGCTTTGAAAATTGCATGGACATCTTCATCATCATTTCATCCCATCCATCTCATGTTTGTGGCCTGTATCACCTCTCTTCCATGCGCTCAGTCTGCCTGGAGTCAGCTACTGAACGGTTTCATCCTGACCTTTTCCCCACTTTAAATTATCATTTCATCCAGTAGCTTTCCAAGACAACGTGCATTTTTCATCCTTCATCATGTCCTTTTAGCATGTGCTTTGTATCACCATCTAAAAGCATGTTGAAGCTCTCAAAAAACCTCATTTTAACTGAAATTACTTGGTGGGATGGGGTGTTTGTGTTTTCAGCTCCGAGTGAAACACCATTTATTTCTCAAAAACTGGAAATCTTTACCAGTCCTGAATTGCAGCCTACAACACCTGGTAATTAATGACCTCTGTATAGTTATGTACTTTGAAAGAATAGATGAAGAGACAAAAAGCAGAAGTCATGCTGGCCTTCTCAGAGTATTGCCAGTAGTAAACATTTCCCTTCATTCTCTATGATGAAACTCTTCAAAGAACTTGGTTATCTGTCATTCTTAGTTTTGTGATAATCCTTGAAGAATTTCTATAATCTTGATATCTATTTTTTAATTGAGGTAAAATTAATATATAACATTATGTTAGTTTCAGTATGATGTAACAGTTCTGTCTTTGTATATGTTATTTTGAAGGATAACTCCCTTTCTATAGTTCTTTCAAATTTACCAACCACAAAATAGCAGCAAAATTATAGATGATAATTATTTTAAAATATGTTCCCTTCAATTAGCATTTTAGATACCACTTGATCAGACTATTTTTCTCAAAATAGTCTAAGGAGCACCAAGTGGACTCTACAATCCTGGATATGATGAAGAAAGATGAGTAAAAGAGAGTAAAATAGCTTTCGGTCTATAATAGAAAATTACTGAAATGATGAAGTTCATTAACTCCTGGTGATGTTAGTAGTGAGCTATAGAATTAAAGAGTTCTGAATGTTCTATTCTCTAAATCTGGAATATCTGTGCTTCTCCCATGCTGTTGGATAAACCATCTTTTGAGTAATTAACTGTACCTTGTGTTCGTAAATCCTTCAAGGGTCCTCCCTTTCCAGTACACTTAACTGAAAAATGTATCTTTTCATACAGACATTTAATTTCTTTTGGCTCAATCAGTACTTACTTATTGAACACCTATGCTGGGCATTCTAGGGCTACAAAGAAATAGAAAGCAGTTCTTGCCCTCAAGAAGTTTGTAAGTGTACGGTTACAATCTCATTGACCCCCTGGGAAATATCATTTACCAAAGCTATATTAAATCTTCTTTCAGCTCCCCTGCAAACTACATCTGTCCCTTCTACACCTAAACGACGCCTCAGGCCCAAAACACCAAGAACTAAGCCTGGTAAATAACTGTCTATTTAACTTTTCAGGATATCTAATTCCAAGTAGATGATATCCATGTACTTATTAGAAAGAGAAATGATTCTGTAGATTAAAGATGCTCTATAAAATCTGGAATTAACTGAAAATGAATAATTAAAAATAACAAAAGTCAAACATTTTCAGTAAGATTTTACTGAAAATTATGTGTATGATATTCTTTTTTTCTGGGAAATAGTCTTTTTAAATCAAAATAATACATAGAGTTTTTTTTAGGTACTTCAAGTCTTAGACTGAAAAAGAGAATCTACTGCCCACCTTCTTCTGCCCCTGAGACCCATTCTCCAATTCTTTAATATTTCTTTTGTATTTAACTCCACATTTCTAAGTAACAATGCTTCTGCTGCTATTTCTTTTTAGATCAGTTTTAGTGAATGATGTTTTTACATGTGAATTTTGATATAAATATAGAAACAGTCATATATAATGATTTATATGGTCACAGTGATACATAATGTCATTTATTTTCCTGGCAATCATCTATATTTAAGTGTTTATCAGGCTGACAGTTCCCATATTTGTTGCCTACTATGTTTTCAGTTTTGCACAGGGCAGTGGCTGAGATGCAGAGAATGTGACTCTGGCTATCCAATTGCTCATAATCTTAAAAAGATAATACATCATGAATGATGAGAGCAACGTAAGATGATATAACCTGCTTGTAAGACTCTATTAGAGTAGAAGCTCAGAAAAGCAAAGTAAGAGTTGAGGATATAAATATCAGAATATGTGTCAGGTTTAGGCAGAGGAAAAGGAAAAGGGAACAGCATATATTATGGCACAGAGTTGGAGGTGGAGGTAATTTATCAATCTGGAGGTGCTAGCCTTCATTGTAAAAGGGTACACTCAGACTCATGCTCAATAACCAGGCTTTGATTATTTATTCCATTGCTTATTCCAGGTTTTTTTTATAGCCTATACTATTATGACTGAATTTTAAAATTCTTTCCCCAAACTTTTACTCACTGCATACTTTGTAAACAGTGACTAAATATGACAGGATTTTAAAAGGGTCATTCAGTTCCTCTTTGGAGGATTTTTTTTTTATTGTTTCTAGAATATGTTAATTTTTTTTTCCTTTCCATCACCAGAAAGAACCACAAGTCCTGGAACAATTACATCTAAAATTTCTAAAAGCCCTGAACCTAGACGGACAACAATGGGTAACGATATGTCCTTAGTAGATGGGTTAGTTCATTTCACCACGGGAAGTCCAGTATGCCAGCTTTTATGTACTGTCTCAATCACTGTTCTAACTGGATCATTTCAACAGTACTCAATATCTCATAGAGTACATCAACTCCATGACTTTCATGATTTTGGATAGCTGGCACTGTGGTTGGTGGATGTGAACTCAGCATTTGTACCTTGGAAAGCTGTTAAATCGCTGATGCTTTTCCATCTTCTACACAATCATTGTTTTTTAAAGTTGTGTCTTATATACACTTCTCCAATTTGGGGGGTAAGGCCTTCAAGTTCAATTTCAAACTTCATTTAAAAAAACAGCTTTCTGCTATGGTGTTAGTAACATTTCTTTACGCCACAGATCACATTATACATATCAGTGAATATTACTTTTAAAACATTTCTTTTTTTGAGTGCTTAGAAACTTAGACATGGCTGAGAAATGTGAAATAAGGTGCAAAATCATTATGCTAATTTTCATTTTTTAATCCTGGGTTAAAATCACCGTCATACTTTGTATAGTAATGGTGACTGATGGCAATGCATTTTTTCTTGAAATGCTTTTTCAAAAAGATGAAAATTTATTAGTATATTTTCATTAAATACTGCTCTGTGAAATATTATTTTTTTTTAAGTTTATTTTCTAATGGAATGTTTCCAAAATCATCCAAGATGATGGGTTTATAGCACGTGAAGTATAGGTTTTCCTTTTGTAGTTTCAGACATTGAAATGTCTAAATACTGATTTGATGATTATTTTGTTTCTTTATTTTTCCAGCTCCCAGTAAAACACAATTTATTTCTTTGAAACCTAAAATCCCTCTCAGTCCAGAAGTGACAGACAGCAAACCTGGTAATTACCCGAGCTTTGTTTTGATATTTCACATGTAGGGTTGAAAAAGTGTTTTATGCCGCTCTTTGGAGCAAAACCTTCTGATTCACACTTTGGTATTTGATTCATCTTTCCATGAAAAGAGCAAAAATGTGATGACATGATGTCATTAGAGCCAGTTCCTCTGATATTATCATAGCATCTCTTTGAGCTGTGTGGGGTTTCATTATGTGCATGACCACCACAGAGAAAGCACAGAGGGAGAGTGAAGGGAATGATTGAGAACTCCTTTGTCTAGGACGATGAAATAGTTTCCAATACCAACGTTGCTTGGAGTTCAGATCAGCAGCCTTCCAGCTAAGAAGTGGAGAAGTCTTTCCATCCCCTCAGAACTCTGCCTTATTTGGGGCCCCAGTTCTCAGGGTGCATGACTAGTAAAGGTTGTAGTCTCCCAATGTTCCATGACTTCTTTCTAAACTGGGGCTGATTTCTGAACACTGACTTTTGTTTACTTCTCAGGAGACATTAATTTGCTGAAGAAAAGTAGGTGTTTTTTGTTGTGGTTTTTTTTTTTTTTTTTTTTTGCAGTGAGGGGCATTCTATGTATATAATCAAAAACATAATTTCTTGCATAAGGATTGCAGGACATGTTAAATAATTAAATCTTTGTTTTTCTCTATACAGAACCTATACAACAGTCTGAAATGTTGATTTATGAGATTATATAAGGGGAACTTTGTCACAACTCATTATTGTCATAAAAAATTGAATGCCTTAGCTTTGGGAAGAATATATTTCTCACTGTAATATGGATTTTTCATTAATGTGTATTTACAGAGTAGGATTATTAAAGCAAAAGATTGCTTAAGTGGGCATGATTTGTCTTTTTGCAAAGACATGGGTAAGGAAGAAAAATAGAACTGCTCAGAAAGAGAATTCTCATGACTTCTTTAAAAGAGGCAGAGAGATTTCCAGGTATTGTAGGCATCAGAAGGAAAGAAATTAGGGATTAAGCAAAGGGAATATGGTTGATGCCATGCCCATGAGTGAGGTTTCCAAGTCAGAGAAATTGAATGAAGTACTCTTACTAAAAGAGGTTGTTAGGAGAAATAAGCATAGCTAATAAACTCAAGAGTTCTAGTGGTTTAATTCAAAGAACTCTGACAGCTGAGAGAAGGGTTTCCTGTACATTTATTTAAAAATTATGCCCAGAGGATTTTGGAATAAGGTAGTAACTGTTACATTTAGGCTGTATTTTGAATAGGGTCCTCTCACCAGGCAAACCAAGAAATATTACATTATGTTTGGGTCACCAACTTTAAATATTTCTCTAATTATTTCTGTTGTTACAAGATAAAATTTGAAAACATCGAAAAAATGTCTCCAAATGTTCATTATCATTTGCTCATGATAAGTTATATTATCAATGTTAGTGGTTTCTGGAAATAAAAGCATTTCTGAGAGGAAATTCATTAATTCATATTAGGGCGGGAGAATGTTCTTATCACTCTAACGTATTTGAACAAAAAGATTTCTTAATTTGCCATTTCCTTTTAAAAATGTGAGAAATTATTTGGAAGCTAACAGGCTTATATTGCTTTATTTCTACCTTCTAATCACCTAAAAATATTCACTCTTTTCCCCTAACAGCAAGTATCATTACTTCATAATCTGTGCCTAAACTTAAGCCAGCTCAAGTTGACTTTGAGTGGCCTGAGGCAACACAGAGTAATGACTAGTTCTCCATAAACCATTGTTTGGATGTTAGTTTTTAAAAATGTATTCATTTTATGGCAACCACCTTTATAGCTCTGTTAGAGATTTCTTTTGTAAGGTTCAGGAGAGCAAATAAACCACCAAAAGCTTTCTGATTTGAGCCACTCCTTGACTTTCCCATCACACTTGACTTTTCTCATCACACTCGTATTTTTCCTTTTTCACTTTCCATGAAGGCTCCTTTTCCTTTGGCTTTCCTTTGTGGTTAAGTTAATGAGTAAAAACCCACATTGGTTTTGGCTTGCAAGACAAATCCAACGCTTTCTTAAAAATCTCAGCCATCTACTATGTCCCAGCTTGTCTGCCTCATCCAATAAGAATTCTTTCCTTCATAGTTAATCATTATGATTGTAATGACATTTGGCTCTTCAAGCTTTTAAAGATCTGAAGAAAGGGAGAGCCCTCCAGTCATGGGTGTTTATTGTACTTGGAGCTGACACGGCCGACGGGACAGTAAATGGTTCTCTAGCTGCAAATCCATCAGTGACTTTTTGTTTCGGGCTGAGCTAATTGCTGTGGTTATTTGCATGTCACTCAGCTTTCTTATGGAACATTTTTGTATCTTTATCCATAACACGTTAAGGCTGAGATAGAGGAAATCTTATTAGAAGATAGATTTCTTAATAACCACTGACTATAATATTTTCTTATGGAGGTGAATTGGATACTTAGTTGATGGGATGCCATATCTATTTGGCCTCAGTCTCAGGAAATGAAAAATGCTGATTTTTCTTTATAAAATTAAAGCAGCAGCATTCTTTCATCTTTGTTAAATCTAAAGATGCTAAAAGTAGCAAATCTTAACTTTTTCATACTTTTAGAAGTCAACTTTGTGGAAATTAAAACATTCATTATAACCTTGAAGTTTCAAGAGAATTTTTGGTTTTTGCTATTTTCATATGTGGATGTTTTTGTGATATTTATGATATTTGATTACTGATATTTCCTATTTCTTTTCCTTTTTTCCTGTAGAATCTGAGGCATTCAACTGCCACTGCCCCCCGCCCTCCCACACACATACCTTTTACTTTGCTTAGTGTACTTCTATCTGATACAGTATTACAGCTTTGCCATTCATCTGTTATATTCTATTTATGACAAGTTCATGAGAAATCAGAATTCTTTTTTTGGCCACAGACATTCTGATGAATGATGCTACATTTCAATAACACCTTGTGCTATTATGCCTTGCTTTCAGATAAATGAATATTCTCTATCCAAATTGTTTATTATTATTTTTTCCTTTTTAGTCGCTGAAACATCACTACTTGCTTCTACCAAACTTCCCACACCCAGAAATATCAGAGATAATTCCTGGTAAATGTAATTTAAGAAATATCTAAGTACACAGTGATTTAAGTTCTGTTAAGTTGTTCAGTAGGGACTAGATTAATTAATTTCTTTCTGTAAGGAAAAAAATGTCAAAGAATCTTTACATTGTTTTCTACTTCAAAAATTTATTTCCTTTTTATTTTCTCCTTGAAAGAAATCAACTCTTTTTGTTCTATAGAATAGGAAAGCTATTGGATCATCTTCTTTAAAAAAAAAAATAGTCTTTGTACCAAACTACATTTAACATTTCAGTTCAGTTCAGTCGCTCAGTTGTGTCTGACTCTTTGCCACCCCATGGACTGCAGCACGCCAGGCCTCCCTGTCCATCACCAACTCCTGGAGCTTACTCAAATTCATGTCCATTGAGTCAGTGGTGCCATCCAACCATCTCATCCTCTGTTGTCCCCTTCTCCTCCCACCTTCAATCTTTCCCAGCATCAGGGTCTTTCCAAATGAGTCAGTTCTTCGCATCAGGTGGCCAAAGTATTGTAATTTCAGCTTCAGCATCAGTCCTTCCAGTGAATATTCAGGACTGATTTTCTTTAAGATGGACTGGTTGAATATCCTTGCAGTCCCAGGAACTCTCAAGAGTCTTCTCCAACACCACAGTTCAAAAGCATCATTTCTTTAGCGCTCAGCTTTTTTTATATTCAGCATTTACTTACTGCCAATCTGAATGGGCTTGGAGAGTTTATCTGTCAGAATATTTAGATAATATTATTAATGAATTTATTCAGCATCTCATGAAATGTGGAGACTACTTTCTAACTTCTGCTGATTTGCTAATTTAAATGGAATAAGTTTCATGTGTAAATCAATTTGTTCACCAGCAATAAGTAGTAGTAAATATGATGAATACCATATCAACACCTATGGCCTTTTTAGACTGTAAGTTCAATTCCTGGTTTTTTTTTGTGTGTGTGTGTGAACCAATATCAGCTCCAATCAGGCTGAAAATGACCCAAAGCTAACAGAGATCCGACATGGTTACAGGTCCGATGGATCTGTCACCATTTTCCATCTGACTGTCCTGAAGGAAATAAAATGGCAGGTGAATGACCTCTGAAAGGCTACACTGACCTCCTTTTAAAGTAATATCTCCTCGGGCACTAGGAGTTGTAGTGGGGAAAATAGCTAAAGATCAGCAAGAAAAATTAGAATTCTCAATTCTTTCTTCTGTTGTAGTCTGTGTAGAGGCCGTGGGGTGATGGAGTTTTATTTTGTAAGCCAATAGCGCCTGATGGCTTTCCACTGAGAGAACACTTGCTATGGTAAAGGACCTTTCATTTCTACCTTAGATGGTGCTGTCAGCATCTCCCTTGATGTAATACTTGCTTTTATTGCAGCCCCAGAACCGGAGGTTCTCCTACCATCACAGCCGCCAATAGGTAATGAAGTTTCCTCTAGTGAGTGAAAAACAATTCACTTATTTTCACACTTACTATGTTCAAGTTTGTCCTTAGCTTTGGATTTTTTTAAAAAATTGCTTCTTCATTGTCCTTCAGATCTTGATTTCAGCTGTTTCTGCCAGAAGATAAGCTCTCTGCTGCCTTGACTAAGCGGAAGCTCTGAGACAGCCATACTGATTTTAATTTGCCACATTCCTTTTTGTCCCTTCTTATATCTGAGGACTGTGTCCTGAGCTTGTTTTAACCTGGTTATTCCCCACAGAGGACCATGGCTTCCCCAGGACATATTTATGCTTTCATTTTTAGAGGTGGTTTTTGTTTGCTTTCAAAACTCTAACATTTGTAGATTTTCTTTAAAAGCATTATGGTCTTTTCAGCTCTCAATATCCTGATATTTCACTAGGAAATTTATTAAATAAGAGAAAGAGAAAAACTCACCCCCAATCTTTATAGCTTTTTTTCTTCAAGAGAGCAAAACTATTCTGCTGGTGCCATCTTACCAAA